GCGATGGCCGTGGTTCTGAGCAGGTTGATCGGTGCTGGGGAAGGAGGGATGGTCTGGGGGCATGGAGGGCAGGCTGCCATCCCGTGACTCTCTGCTCTCTGCTCCTTGGAGATTCCTCCAGTCCCAGGTTTGGATCCCAGAGCCAGAGGCATTCTTGAGCAACAAAAAAACTCTCTCGTCCCTGGAAAGAAAACACCTAATTCTTGGTCACAAGGTTGGGGCCCAGGCCCCTACCATGACCCTCTTAGAGACCCCGTTCCAGCCTTGAAGCTTTGAGAGTTGAGGAAGCTGAATTTGAACACACACCCCTTTTCCAAAACATACTCTAAATGTGTAACCTTAAGCAAGTGCCTTTATCCCCTCTAAGCCCTGATTTCCTTAAAAGGAACTGCCAGCTGCCTCACAGGACTGCCATGGGATCAGAAAGACACAGGGTGAGGCAGGGAGCGGTCTAAGATGCACAAGCCTGCACAGCCCCCTCCTGAGTGCGGGTGGGGCCTGGGCGTAGGAGGGGCCCGCACCCCTGTGACAGCCGTTTCCTCCTCTAAGACTGTCCAGCGGACGGGGGAGGACTCTCCACAGGCTTCGAAGAATGAGCTGTCCTGCCAGGAGCAGCCGGCGGCCCCCGGAGCTAAGTACCACCCGATCCAACAATCAGCAAGAAAGCAGGACCTGAATCTTCCGGCCGCCAGACACTGCACTCTGCCCACAACCTGAAGGAGCGTGGCGTGGACGCCCAGCCTCGGGGGAGATCACAGCCCTGCAGGTGCCTGGCCCTCCTCGGGGCAGGGGGGCACCCTGAGCGAGGAGCGGTGAGTTGGGTCCTCGCCTACAGGCACAGAGAGACCAGAGATGGCTGTTGCTTAAGCCGCTAGGAACGTGGCGAGGTGTTACACAGGAATTGAAAACCATGGAATAATCTGCGTTTGGACCAAACTGCTGTTTGAGTAGCCCAAAGCCGCGGAGCCCAGGCAATCGCACTCGGTCCCGCCTGATACAGATGTGAGGCGCCTGGCGCGTACTAACAAACCCCACTGTCATTATTCCCCGGCTCCGCTGGAGAATGCCTGGCTCTTCAATGGCTGACGACCTCCTTTTTCCTAGCACTGGCTCTGACGGCTGCCCGCTGCCCCAGGCCCTCCTTCCCCAGAGCCGGTCCGATGAGAGCCTCCGGAGCCCATTCCCGGGCCTTCTGAGAGGCCCAGGGCAGCTCCTGAGCAACTGTGTCTCCTGCCCCAGACAGCAAAACACCGGCCCCAACAGACACAGAAAACAGCGCTGGGGCAGAGGCAGCCGCTGCCCAGCAGCCCCAGGCCAGCGAGGGAGGGCTGCAGCCTCTGGACCCCACCCCTGGCCTCCGGGGGGCCTGGGAGTCCCACTGCTGGAATGCGCTGTGTTTCTCGCACCCACCGGACCCTGCAGTGGTGCAAAGGTTCCCTGTTACATAAAAAATGCAAATCGCTCTTTTCTAACCAGCAGGCCGGTCCCAGTGCCTGCCGCTGGTGACGCACAGAAACCAGAAAAGCAGTGTGGCCCTCGGGGACCAGGACCGGTGAGTTTCGGCTGGGTCTGCAGGGAGACTGACGGCGTCAGGAAAGGTCTGGAAAAGACCACCCGAGGAGAGAGAGAGGCTGTGGCTCCCACTTCCTGCAACGCTTGCTGGTGTCTGGTTTCATACACCATCTACCCTGCTCACTCAGAATCCCTGGCTGGAAAGCAGACATCAGTAAAGCTGGGAGGGGTGAGATCTCTGTGTGGGACCCCCACCGACCCTGGGACTCAGCTAGAGAGACTGAGTTTTATTGACGTTCAGGTGTCAAATAATAGGCAACACAAATGACTATTCCTGGGCGAATCCCCCTGTGATAGGGGTTACTGTACTTCCTTTATAGGTAAGGACTCGGGGGCTCAGCAGTTTACCTGGGGTCACGGGGACAGAGCTGGGATGTGAACGCAGGTGGACAGATCCCACAGCCCATGTTCTTAGCCCCTGAGCCAAACAACCAGGCACTTTATCATCTTTGGCCCTGCGTTCACCGAAGCTGGTAAGGAACAATTATTTGGGAATGGACTTGGATTCGCCCGAGAGACACCCTTCCTACAAGAGGGGCCCGGACACCCATCCCACAGCGTGACCTGCCCTCCGCGGAGGCTCACGTGAGCCTCTGCTGTGGCCCTGGGCTGAGGCTCAGGCGCACCCCGGTCCCAGGCAGCTTTGCTTGGCTGGCAATGCCCAGGGGAGGCATAGCAGGGGTTTGGGTCCTACCCCGGGCAGGCACAGGAGCTCCTAGAAGGTGGCAGGGACCTTCCTAAGAGCAGAGAGGGGAGGGAACTGGCCCCAGCAGCTCATTCTGAGACCCCTGGAGTTCTCACCCTGCCAACGCCTCTGCCTGCCCTATTGTTCCCTGCCTACCAGCAGGTATCACTTAGATGCCCAGGGCAGGGGTACCCCATAGCCTCCTCCTGGGGCCCAGTCAGTGTGGACCTTGAGGTGCAGGGAGCAGGACTTGACCCTCATTCACTGGAGACTGAAGTACAGAAAATACTGGAGAGCCATTCTCTGCAGCTCTCCCTCCTCCCCCCCTCTCCTCCTCCTCCCCATCCTCCTCTTCTCCTCCTCCTTTTCCCTGCCCCTTCTCTTCCCCCACCTCCTCTTTCTTTCAGAGCCTGGAGAGCTTGACCTGCTTGAGGGAAAGAGATGGACCCACAATTTCCAGCTCACCTATATTGTTTTCTCCTCCCTCTGTTCAAGGCGACTCCCCCTCCTCACTCCTTCCCACCAAAACCCACTTCCCCCCTCTGGTGCTCAGGAGATCAGGAACAGGGCCGGGGCAGGCCCTCCTCAGGCCGGAAGACCATGTGTCCCGCGAGGGAATGGGCACAAGGGCTGATGCCAGAACCACATCCGCCAAGATCGCAAATGCATCCCTACGGACCTTTCAGCAAAAGGTCTGACACCTCTCCTCGGAGAGAGCCAGCAGGAGGGACCAAGCATTACTGCTGCCGTAACCGTTGCAGCTACTTATTACTAAGCACCAACTTCGGGCCACGGAAGTGCGGAGCAGTGTGCTGGGTCCTTTGCAATCCCCTATTCCTGTTAGTTCCTCCAACAGCGTTTGCCGAGGGCCTGCTCCGGCATGCCAGCCACTCTCCCAACCGAGCACGCGAGCCACCTCGGCAAAGGCGGCTCTTCATTGTCTGCTCTTGGCAGATGGAGGAAACCTGGGCTCAGTCAGACTGTGGAGCAGATTCTGTTCAGAGTGTCTGACTCCAAAGCCACGGGGCCTGCTGCCTGCTCTCCTCTCCAGTGGAGTGAGGGTCCGTGGGTCAGAGTCAGGGAGGGGTAGGAGGTACTCTGGGGCAGGAGGGACGAAGCACACACCTGAGATGCCTTCAGGGGCCAAGTGCTCAGTGTGTGAGCGGCCCCGTGGCCCAGGCCGAGCACCCAGGCCCCGGGGGACACAGAAGACAGCGGTGAGGGCTGCGTGTCCGTGGCTGAAGTGGAGGCGGGAGGATGCGGGGCATGAACTGCAGAGGTGAAGGAGGGGTGAGCTCTGGGTGGGGAATGGGTTGTTCCTGGGCTGGGAGGTGGGAGGATCCAGAGACAGCTCTGACACAGGCGTGATTGAAGGCTGGAGGGGACTCAGGCACAGGGAGTGGTACCTGCGGGAAGGGGAGGGTGGGCTGTGGCAGCTGTCGGAGGCTGAGGAGGTGAGGCTGGAGCTAACGGGCCATCAGGAGTCGCCCAGAAGAGTAATGGCAAGATGCAAATGGCGCTGGGAGGTGTTCTGACAGCGTGGTGTGTGGGACCACTGGGGAGACATACGGGACTTATCAGTGAGCCTGGCACAGGGGGCAGCTCACTCACCACCCTCAATCCCCCCCCCCCCGATCCTTCTCTCAGCCCCCAGCCCAGGCCCTGCGGCTCTGTCTCTCCCTCCCCACTGCCTGGAATACAGTGAGGGCCATGAGCGTGGGAAAGGACCTAAGAGGATGGGGTGGGGGGTTTGGGACAAGGAAAAAGCCAGGACTCAAATCATGGGGGCAGAGAGCATCTCTGGGACCTCACGGTGGGCTGTGCCTGGGCCAGTGCCCCTTCAGTGGCAGCAGGGCAGTGCCCGAGGCCAGCCACAGGGTGACGCACTAGGAAGAAGCCCCCCATCTCCACTGCACCCCTCACAGCTTGGGGGCCTTCCCCTCACACGGGAGAACCAGGCAGAGACCAGCTCTGAGATGGAGAAGTTACCCCAGAGCCTGTGTGAGGACTTGGGGTAGGAGCCCATGAAAACTCTCCCCTCCCCTGCTGAACTCTGATTACACACTCCATGTTACCGTCCTTTGGCCTAAGGTTTTGTACCCAAGTTATTGTTTTTTTAACGGTCCCATTAAGGCTGTCATCAGCAGCCGCACCTCTGACTGAGGGACGGCTGCGGTTCTTCTCCAGGAGTCAGTTCGGCTGCTGCAGGTGGAGAAAGGCCCTGGCACCGGGTCTGAGGCGGTGGGGGCGAGGGGGACAGAGGGGGCAGCAGAGAGGACAGGAGGCAGGGGGCAGGGGCTGCAGCCTGGGAGGCTGGGCAGGTCTCTCACTTCTAGGTTTGGGGAGGAGTTGCTCAGAAATGACTTGCTCCAAGCCCCCGTATGGCCTGCCGTTCCCTCCCTCCCCCCTCCGCCCAGGACCCCTGCTCCTGGGTCCTCACGCCCTCTCCAGCCACAACCCAGAACGCAAACTTTCAGAAATGCGACCCCAACTCGGCTTCCACCCGCTCGCCACCCCGCTGGGCAGGGGCTCTGTCCGGACAGGAGGGGTGGGGAGGAGGGGGCATCCCGAGGCGAGGCCACGGCCACGAGCCACGGGATCCGGGTCCCTGGGCGGGACAGGGGTCCCTGGCGGGACGGGGCGGGGAGGGGGGGCTGGGCGGGACGGGGATCCCTGGCGGGACGGGGGTCCCTGGCGGGACGGGGGTCCCTGGCGGGACGGGGGCCGGCGGCGGGAGGCTCACCTGCAGGACACGGTGATCTCCACCTTGGTGGCCGGGATGCTGCCCGCCAAGGAGTCGAACTCGCCCAGCGACGTCATGTCCTCGGGCTGCTCCATTGCCCCCCGCCCCCCTCCCCCGACCCCAATTAGTCAGTCCCTGCGCGCTCCACGCTCCTGGGGAGCCACCGAACCCTGGGCTCCCCAACTACGGCGCCGCGGGAGCGGGAGCCTGAGCCGGACGGAGGCTGGCAGCCGCGGAGGAGCGGAGCGCGGAGAGGGGGCGTGGGCAGTGAGAGGGGAGGGCGGGGGAGCGGGGGCCGCGCACCCGGCAGGGGTGAGGGGGCCGCGGCGAAGAGGCGGGGGCACAGCGGGGAGGGGTGCGATGCCGGAGAACCGGGCGCAGCTGGGCGAGGCGCAGGGCGCGGGGCGCGGGGCGTGGGGCCGGGCGGGGCGCGCGCAGCGTGGGGCGGGGGCAAAGAGGGTGCAGGGGGCAGAGGGGGTGCAGGGGGGAGAGGGGTGCAGGGGGCGGAGGGGTGCAGGGGGCAGAAGGGTGCAGGGGGGAGAGGGGCGCGCGGTGGATGGAGCCGGGAAGCGCAGCCGCCGCCTCTGGCTGGGTGCGGCGCGGGCGGCGGCGGGGCTGGGGACGCGGCTCCGGCTCCGGCTCCGGCTCCGGCTCGGGCTCCGGCTCGGGATCCGGCTGCGGGAAAATCAAATCTGCCCAGCCGCCGCCCCCCGCCCCCCGCCCCCGCGGCCGGCGGGCGGGAGCGGAGGGGGCGCCCGCAGGGGCGGGGCGGGGCGGGGCCGGGGCGGGGTCTGCGCCCGGGCTGTGGGGTGAGCGTGTCCGTGCGCGCGGGCGGGCGTGGGTCCGCGGCTCCGGATGCCGGGCGTGGGGGTGGGAGTGGGTAGGGGGACGGCCCAGAGGTCCGGGGGTGCACGGCTCCATCGCGCCGCCCCACTTCCACCCCCCCTGGGGCTGCACCCACGGGCAGGGGAGGCGGTGAACCAGGGCACCTGTTTGAGGAGGGTCTAAGGAGGCGCGGGGCGGGGGAGTTCTCTGCTGAGGGTCCCTCACCGCGGAGGGGCTGGTCTCCGTCCCCAAAACGGGCTCCACCTCTCCGGGGGAGGATACGGGGGTGCCCCAGAGCCCGGGAAGCCGCCTGGTTTCCTAGTGAGGGCAGTAGTCCTAGGAGGGGTCGGTGCCCGGCTGTCCCTCTCGCCCCCTATTCCCTCCCCCCCACCTCCCGCTGCTAGCGCCCTCCCCGCCCCTGGCCCGTCGTGACTACAGGCTGAGCCACCCCGGTCTCACCAGATTGAGGGTGCCCCCGCCTCCCAGGGCTTCTAGGCCCCCAGCTCGGCGGAGGCGCCTCCTGTGGGCCGTTCTGATTCCTGCCCCGGGAGCGCGGGGGGCGCGGAGGCTGCTCTCAGCGGGTTCCCCCCTCCCCACTCCCCCCTGCCCGGCTCCCCCTGCCTGGCCTGGGCGCAGCGCTGTGGCCATGCCCGGGCTGAGCTCCTGGACTGTCTCCAGAAAAAGCCCTCCAGCCCCTCCTCAGCGGGCCTGGGCTTGGCAGAGATTGAGGCCTCCTCCGCGCCCACCGTGGATGGAGCGCTTGGCCCCATGCCCTCGGTGCCGGGCAGCTCTGGGGAGCCCAGGAGCCCGGGCTGGACCGAAAAGGCCATGGACTCTGGGCCACGGCGTTGGCAGCAGGGCCTTCACCGGTCCCTGAAGATTCTGTTTGAAGTCAATACCCCGAACATCAGATACAAAGTCAAACATACATCTAAGAAGGCATTCCTCCGCCTGGGCTAAGTGTTTTCCTTGTCCCATGGCATGGCGTTGGCACGGCGTTGGCTGGACTCAGTTCAGCCACCTGGACCCACAGCCAGGGACAGAGGCCGGGCATTCCAGGGCAGTGGGCACAACTGGCGGGAAGGTCCTGCTGCAGTTTGGGCCGGAGGCCCTCTCTGCAAGGGGAATGATTGGGGGCTCCTTTCCAGAGGGATACAAACTGGGCTTGGAACCTCTAGTCCACACCTTTATCCCACCCACCGTCCCAGACCAAACATCTCGTGGAATGCGTCATGCGTTCACCACTAGTGTTCACTGATAGCTGCCGTGTTCCTGGCCTGGGCCAGGGCCACCTGGGAAACTCCCTTTCGAATAATGATAACCATACTAGACAGGGGTGGGCAAAAGTAGGTTTACAGTTGTAATACCAAAAAATATGGTAATTAATAAACAATACAAGAATAAATTCTGTGTCTCCATACTCACAACTGTAAACCTACTTTTGTCCACCCCTGTATTTTCAAAGAGCTTACTCTGGGCCAGACACTATACTTAATTTTTTTTAAAAGATATTATTCATAATCAACCAAAGGACTTGAATGCATGCATATAAGCCTAACCAATGGTCATAGATAACAGGGGGTGAGGGCATGAATGGGTAGGGGGAAATGGGAGAGGGTAATGGGGGGATAAGGCAAATAAAATAAAAAATTTTTAAAATATTATTATTCACATATCATAAAATTTACTATTTTAAAGTGTATAGTTTGGGCTGGCTAGCATGGCTCAGTGGTTGAGCATTGACCTATGAACCAAGAGGTCACCATTCGATTCCCAATCAGGGCACATGCCCAGGTTGCAGGCTTAATGCCCAGTGTGGGATGTGCAGGAGGCAGCCGATCAATAATTCTCTCTCATCATTGATGTTTCCATCTTTCTCTTCCTCTCCCTTCCTTTGAAATAATATATATATATATATATATATATATATATATATATCTAATATATAAAAACCCAGGGTCCATAATGACCAACTAAAGGCTGGACGAAACATCGAAAGTCAGTCCTGTAGTCAGTTTTGGGTTGCCATGGTGACCCAGCACTGACTGCCAAGGTGGCTGCGGATCAGGCCTGGAGAGAGGCAAGGTCTGATCCGCAGCCTCTGTGGCAGCTATTGATCAGCTGTTGCCTTTCTCTTTCTCTCTGGGTTTCGCCAGCAGCCGGCTTCTGTTTCTCTCTGGGCCTCTGAGAGGGCTGCTAATCAGCCCCACCTCTCTAATCAGGCCCGGAGATAGGCCCGGAGATGCTGTCTGGCATAGAAACTGACCAATCAGAACCAAATTGACCAGCAGGGGAGGACAGTTGGGGTGAAATCAGGCTGGCAGGGGAGGGTTATTGGGGGCAGATCAGGATTGTAGGGGAGGGCCATTGCAATGAGATCAAGCTGACAGGAAAGGGCAGTTGGGGGCAAACAGGCTGGCAGGGGAGGGCAATTGGAGGCAACCAGACCGGCAGCGAAGGACCACTGGGGGTGAGAGCAGGCCAGCAGGAGAGGGCAGTTAGGGGTGATCAGGAAGGCAGGCATGCAGAGAGGATAGGGGCAATCAGGCAGGCAGGCAGGCAGGCAGGCAGAGGCAGTTAGGGACTATCAGGCCAGCAAGCAGGTGAGCGGTTAGGAGCCAGTGGTCCAAGATTGTGAGAGGGATATTCGATTGGAAAGGGTGCAGGCTGGGCTAAAGGAACTCCCTCTTTGTGCATGAATTTCGTGCACCAGCCACTAGTGTATTAATAAAATAAAGTGTGCATACGGTTTGGTGGGTTTTAGCATGTAACATTCAGTGTGCAGTATTTTACCTACATTTAATAAGTAAGGCAGACAGTGCCCAGAGAGGCTAAGCAGCTTCACCATGACCACCCACCTGGATACTTGGCAGAGTGAGAATTTGAACTCAGGCCATTGAGACCAAAGCTGGACTCTGAACAGGAGACTTGAGTGCCTCTTTGGATGGGGCCAGGTAATGGAGGTCTTAAAAGCCAACTATGACATTAGCCCTGTTGGGGAGGACAGCAATAGGGAGCCACTGCAGGCTGTTCAGCAGGAAAGTGGCAAAGCTAAAGTTCTACCCCATAACCTCATAAGGGACCGATCTGGAGTAGCAGCCCCTGGGTCTCTTTCTAGAAAGATTCTGACTCTCTCTCTCGAGTCCCTCTCATCATTGCATTCCCAACTGCTGGCTCTTTGGTGGAAAGTGCATTAGGTGCCTGCTCTGTGCCAGGCACCATCCTAGACTCAGAGAATAAAGACGGAAAAGAGCAGTAACTGTCTCCAAAGAGTTCCCTGTGGGGGCCCAGGACAGGCATGCAGGTCAGCCTCCTGCGGTGCGAGGAGAGCCATCGAGGCGTGAATAGAATAGAGACGCGTGACCAATGCCTCTGCAGGAGTGGGGGCAGGGGGTGTCAGGTAAACTACAAAAAGGAGGGGATACTGAGGAGGGCCTTGAGAAGGATGTCTGTTTGGTTCCCCAGGAAGCAGGCCTTGAGAGAAAGATTTGAGTGTGAGAAGTTTATTGGGGAGATTAAGGACATGCGATGTGGGGGATGGGGAGGGGAGACGGGGAAGGCAGCCGGTGAGGTGATTTATCAGCCAGTTAGCACAACTGTCTCAATCTGAGCCCGCCAGAGGTGAGGGGGCAGGTGCTCGTGCAGATTCGAGCTGAGCAGGGCCGTGGCCCACCCGCCACGTGGCCAGCGCTGTCCCTCCGATTAAGAACCGGGAGCACGGAGTGGCCCGTGCCCAGAAGATCTGGAATCGGCAGCATCAGCGTTTTGCCTTTGCCTCCAAGATGCAAACACGCGCTATCTGACCTGACCGCGGCGTTATTGACGCTGAGCAATTTGGAGAGGCCGCTGTCCGCATCGCTAAGGAGAGGAAAAGCACCAGGGCTCGGGAGCAGCTGCCGCTCCCGCCAGGGTGCCTTGTGCACGGCCCTCGGGTGAGGCTGTTTGAGGCTGGGGACGGCAGGTGAAAGGGGACGAAGAGAGGAAGGCATGTGGATGGGACGGGGGCCTTGGGGCCGCCCATACTGCACCTTGGAACAAACTAGAAGACGGTGTTGTTTACTCTGGGTAAATGCAACTTGTGGGGCAGAGAGCGGGCTGGAACGGAGCTGCCCTGGCCCCCCGGGCAGGTGTCCTTGTGCTGTGAGCGCCCTGCAGACCACACATGGCAGCCCTGGAGAGACGGCAAGACAGAGGGCACGGGGAACCTGAAACCAGGTTCAGTGAGGAAGCGGCGAGATGCAGTGTCTGATTCCACCCATTAACAGAAATG